CAAAAGGAGAAAGGCCTGTTCTGAAGCAAGCTTAATGTCCAGTGGATCTTCCTATCTCATTTCTTTAATGAGTGGTAGTCTGCTTTAGGGATTTGTAATCAGGAGCTTAAAAGTTTTAGAATGCTCATCAGATTTTTACAACTATGCCATTTATTCACTGAGAGTAAACTGAAGTGTTACATGAGAAATCAGAGTAAGACAGAGGTTTCATTCAAATACTTCTGGTCCTGAAATTGAGAGTACTAACTGCTCCTTGGGCGCCCCCTGGAGACCGAATTTAAAATTTTTTTACATCTTCTGGACAAACTGGTGTGCTATATATTCATTCAAAGAATATTTATTAAGCACCTATACGTCAGGCACAATGTTCAACACTAGAGACAAAAAGATAAATAAAATCAAATTTCTGATTTCTACATACTTAAAGTCAGTATCACCCAAAACTTTCTAAGCATAGCAGGTAGGGTACAATGTCTAAGTTACCCATACAGGTCCTGGAGGAAGTTAAAACACAAGATGATAAAAATGCTTCTGGGGTGCTACCGAAAGCAATTTGGAATGGATATAAAATTTAGCATAATTGTTCATTTAAGGAGAATGTTCACCATCTTTAAAAGAGAGTAGGTTTAAATATCCCAGCTAACACATGCAAAACTGTGATTGTTATTTTCAGACAAGTTTAGGTTATGGCACTATAATTTTTCTTGGGCCAAAACAATACAAATAAAGCTTAATTTAAAAAATTCAAAAATGACACAGTATCTTCCATCATGATTTTTTAGTCACAAGTTATTCCACAATAATAACTCCACTCTGAGCACTTGACTCCTGATCGCACTGCTTTAGAAAATGGCTAATTTTCAAAAACAAATTTGAGTGTGAGAAGACAGACTTAAAAATTAGTTAGAAAATAAAACAAAACTGAAAAAGATCAGTTCAACTAAATGGGCAAAATTCAATCTCAAAGCCTCCCTCAAACCTTTCCTTTCCAGTTCACAACACTTTCAGAAGATGCTGCATCAGATTTGCCTTTTCTTCCTCAAGGTCTGGGAGAGCAAGTAGTACAGGTAGAATTCACAGCTAGAAAAAAAAAAAAAAAAACAAGCAACAGCTTCCCTGTGGTGACACCCTCAACCATAACTGCAATGTCCCAGGATATTAGAGGGCCAGATATTCTCAGGTTCTGTAGCAAGGGTCCAAAGATGTACTTCTGGTGGCCTGAGTTGGAAATTAATGTAATCTTCCCAAAGAAACAATTCTGTTTCAGCCACATTTCAGGTACCCTGTTAGCTAAATTAGTAATGGCATGATAGTTGGGGAATTTAACCTTGATTTATATAACATTTCCCCTACAGAAAAAAATTAGCTCCAAAAATTACAATCGTTTGGGATTCAGCTTACATTTGCCTGTATAATAAAACACTGAGTAAAAATGCAAGAGACTCACAAAAGAAACAAAACAAAAAATCCTCTGACTTAACTGACCATAGACATTCCATTGTTTAATCCACTAGAAGACAGCAAGTGCTGAATTATAAGCTATTTGGAATTGTAAGAAAACAGTTGAATTTAAGCTCATATAAGTGTTGAAATCTTAAAGAATAAGATAATACATTATAGAACATATCTCATCATGGAAACCTTATAATTCTTAATTAACAGGTTTAAAATATTATCCACCATTATCAAACAGAGTAAAGAATAAATACTAATTACAGAATGTGGAGATTATTTTTAACCCATTGGAGTAATATGGGTATTATCAGTTTGGGTGTGAACACTTAAAAGTCACATTATGATTCAAAAACAAAATATTTAAATACATTCCAATACATCAGTCATAAACCAATTTATTTATTTATTTATTTATTTTGCAGTACGTGGGCTGCGGCCTCTCCCGTTGCGGAGCACAGGCTCCGGAAGCGCAGGCCCAGCAGCCACGGCTCACGGGCCCAGCCACTCTGCGGCATGTGGGATCCTCCCGGACCGGGGCACGAACCCGTGTCCCCTGCATCGGCAGGCGGACCCCCAACCACTGCGCCACCAGGGAAGCCCCATAAACCAATTTTTAAAAAGTAAAACTACAGTGCACTTCAAAGTAAAAACAACCAACCTCATAAATTAAGAACAGGAACTCTAAAACAGAGGAAAAAATTATTTGCATCTATGCATGCCAGATATTTTACCTTATTTCATATTCATAAATACCATACCAGACAGTTGTTATTTCTTCCTTCTTACAGAGGAACCCAAGGTAAAACAACAACTTCTCTGGGACTAAAGAGACAGTAAATGGAACAGTTAGGGTTTGAACCCATATCTGTTTGACTCTAGTAAAGTCTTTTCCCCCTCAGAATGGGAGAAAATATTAGTGACCGACAACAGATTCATCTCCAAAATATACAAACAGCTCCTGCAGCTCAATATTAAAAAAACAAACAACCCAATCAAAAAATGGGCGGGTGATCTAAATAGACATTTCTCCGAAGAAGACATACAGATGGCTAAAAAGCATCATTACATCATTGCTAATTATTAGAAAAATGCAAAATAAAACTACAGTGAGGTATCACCTCACACACATCAGAATGGCCATCATCAAAAAATCCACAAACAGGGCTTCCCTGGTGGCGCAGTGGTTGAGAGTCCGCCTGCCACGGGTTTGTGCCCCGGTCCGGGAAGATCCCACATGCTGCGGAGCAGCTGGGCCCGTGAGCCATGTCCGCTGAGCCTGCGCGTCCAGAGCCTGTGCTCTGCAACGGGAGAGGCCACAACAGTGAGAGGCCCGCGTACCACAAAAAAAAATCCACAAACAATAAAGGCTGGAGAAGGTATGGAGAAAAGGGAACCCTCCCACACTGTTGGTGGGAATGTAAATTGGTACAGCAGCTATGGAGAACAGTATGAAGGTTCCTTAAAAAACTAAAAACAGAGCTACCATGTGATCTAGCAATCCCACTCCTGGGCATGTATCTAGAGATAACCATGATTCAAAAAGATACATGCACCCCAACGTTCACTGCAGTGCTATTTACAATAGCCAGGACATGGGAGCAACCTAAATGTCCTTGACAGAGGAATGGATAAAGAAGACGTGGTTTATATATACAACAGAATATTATTCAGCCATAACAAAGAACGAAATAATGCCATTTGTAGCAACATGGATGGACCTAGAGATTGTCATCATGAGTAAAGAAAGTCAGACAGAGAAAGACAAGTATCATTTATCTCTTACATGTGGAATCTATAAAATGGTACAAATGGACTTATCTGTAAAACACAAATAGAGTCACAGATGTAGAAAACAAGCTTATGGTTACGGGGGGAGGGGAAGGGAGGGGGAGGGATAAATTGGGATATTGGGATTGACATTTACACACTACTGTGTATAGAAAAGATAACTAATAGGGACCTACTGTATAGTACAAGGAACTTTACTCAATACTCTGTGATGGCCTATATGGGAAAAGAATCTAAAAGAGAGTGGATGTACGTATATGTATAACTTATTCACTTTGCTGTACACCTGAAACCGATACAACATTGTAAATCAACTATACTTCAATAAAAATAAAAAACAAACAAAAATAAAGTCTTTTCTCCTTCCCCTACTATGCTATTTACATGTAAGAGGTTTCATATACACAACAAAAACCTGAAACCATCCAATTGTCATGCCTTTTAAAAAGTGAAAAGAACGAACAAAAATAAGGAGAAAAATATTTACGTATCTTTTGGTTGAATTAGCTCCACTTATAGTCTTACAAATGATCAACAATTATAAATACAGCTGTAAAACACATAATGAAGATTTTACCATCCGACTTTTTCTGGATGCTCTTTAGAGAATAAAATATAGGACAGGAGTGGGTTGTATGAACCTGGGAGAGGAGTAAAATCCCAAAGCTAATAAAAGCCATATCCTGGAAAAGAGGAGGAAACTATTTTAGAAGTTCTGGGTCAAAACTTTTGCTGGTCACCGAGTTTCACAAGGATTCTTTGGTGTTTTACAGCACTACTGGTCTGCTCTTCTGTTTCTAGATATCTTCTTTTTCCTTCTCTCCCAAGCATTCCCCAGATTCTCCAATAAGCCTTTCACCCACACTGCAGCTAACCACGTATCTGTTCGAAAACTGTTAACGGAATTGAAGCATTAACCTTACCACGCTTTGGGGGGAAAAAGTAACACCATTTTAGACTTGGGAGGCATTTCATACTGAGTTTAAATCTGTGTGCACAGCCTCTACTGTTCTAGTGGGGGCAACCGAGACTCGGAAAGAGGAAGTGACTTGGCCATGGACTCAGTGTAAGTTGGCAGCCGGGCCAGAGGTTGAAGTTTGATCTCATACTCCACGGCTTTTTCCAACCACACCAACCCGGGCTGAGCCTCAGGGCTGGTACTGACTTGGACGGGTTCAGAACACCTAAAGTAACGCCCTGTCGCCCGGGTCTCCTTTCTAGGATAAAGACCAATTAGTAGACGGTTCAGAGTTTAGCGGGCCTGCAGGAATGGGCGTGGTGGAAAAACCGGTCTCCCCTTCAGGCAGCGGTGGGCTCACCCACCCTCTAACCCAAATCGACGCTGCTGCCGCCTCCGGCCGCCCCACAACCAGCGACACACTGACCTCTGCGCGCTGGGGGCCCCGGAAGCGGACCCTCCCGGGATCCCTCTCCCAGCCCACACTCGAGACGAACTTGGTCCCCAAAATGTAAGAAAAGAGGGGCGCAGGAACAAAGCAATCCCAAGCGGTCCCCCTCCTATCTGGGTCCCCCCGAGGCGGGCGGACGTGGACTACCAGTTCCGACATGCCGCGCGCCGGCGGACCCTCGAACCACCGCCACGCCGACCGTGCGCCGGTCGCCGGGACTCGTAGTCCGCGGCTCCGGGGCTGTGGGGGGGGGGGCGCGTGGGGGAGGCGCGGACAGACGCGCGCTGCGGGACTGGCCGGCCCGGCGTCCGGTCAAGCACAGGGCGCCGCCGGCTGCCCGGGCCTCACCTCGACGATGCGGGCGCACTGGGTCCCCTTGCCGGCGCCGGGACCGCCGAGGACGAACACGACCTGCGGCCTCATGAGGCGGTGCGGGCAGAGGAAAAGCGGCCGGCCGGTCAGCAGCGGGAAGCTAAGGCCTAGGACGTACAGCAGCCGGCGGCCGCAACGGCGAAGCATGCACCGTGGCTCGGTAGGACGCTGATGCAGCTGACAGCGGCCGGTCAGGCGTTGGAGCGGGAGCGGGGCACGGAAAAGGGGGCGGGCCGAGCCGGCGCCAGCCGCGGTCCAGCCGCCGTGGCTGCCGAGGCGTCCGCGCCGCGGCCGGAAGGGGCGGGCTTCCGCTGCTCTCTCGTTAGCCGCGCCCCTACGTCCCCCACTCGGGGCCGCGCTCGCGTCCTCCCCGCCCCTCTGCTGGCTCATTGATTCTTTCGGTCCGCGGGTCTTTTATCCTGAGCCTCCTGGTGTCGGGCCTGTGCTGGCGTAAGGGATGTGACCCACGGGAGAGCAAAGCCCATTGTCCCTGCTCGCAAGTTTAAATTCCAGGGGCCAGGCAGCCGACCTGAACAAGTCAACACACGAATAAATAAATGCAAATAGCAATATCGGCTTTGAAGGAACCAAAAGGAGGAATAACAAGAGATGAATGTAATTTGGGTAAGGTAGTCAGACCTCTGAAGAGGTGACATAGAAGCCAAGGCATAAGGATAGCAAAGAGCAAAACTAGGCAAAGACTGGGATAGAGTGTCCCACAAAGAGAGAAAAGGCGAGTGCAAAAAAACCTAAAACTTTCAACTGTTAGAGCAATTGAAAGGCCAGTGAGATCAGAGTTGTGTGAAACAAAGGAGGGAATGAAAGGTGGGAGAGTTTGGCCGACGGCAGATCAGTCAGGCCCTTTGGTTAAGGAAAGGAGTTTGGATTATATTCTAATTGCAGCAGGAAGCCCTTTTAACTATAACTCCATTTCCCTTCCCCTTGCATTAGGGAAAAACCTTGAGAACAAAAGGAGTCCAAGGAATGAGTCTTAGTGAACAGACCTTTAAAAGTTGGAGAGAGAAGGAGGAACCTGAGAAGGCAGAGCCAGAAAGGTAAGAGGAAAACCAGGAGAATGTGGTGTTCCAGCAAAGAGAGTGTTTGGGGTGGGATTGTGGTGGTGTAGTAGTGAACACTGTTAAAAACAAATGAGTACAGATAAATTGGATTTGGCAGCAGGGAAACTTATGAACTCTACAGTTCTGCCCAAAGCAAATCATACACTATATCTAATTTGAATCCCGATTGAAAAAGGAGTGGATAGGAGATGAGTAAATGAAAACAATACTGAGAATAAGGGTCAAGGCAAAGTTCATTTAGGATGGGCGATAGGGGCCATGCTGTCTAATATGGTAGCCCCCATTTAAAAATGCAAAAAACATTGTTAGCTTGTAAGTCTATACCAAAACAGGTGCCCACAGGCTATAGTTGCTGCCCCCTGGCCTAGCAGAATGCCTGGTGTTAGAAGTCCAATCCAAGCTTAGAGGAACGCTCCAAATCCTCCACCTGCCAGGGAGGAGGACCTAGGACATGTCAGCTGAAAGTAAGAATGACTGGTCATGTTATAAAGAGGTAGTAGGAGTACAAAAAAAAGGCCATATTGAAGCAAATATGCCTCTTTTCCATTGTGCATGTTCTCTTAAGTGACTTTTCTGTATCTCTTATGGCATAATTGCCAGATTTGAAAGATGTTAAGGGGATGGGGGTCTGTGGAAAAGGGTCTAGGAAGCTATTCTTTGGCTTTTAGTGAAAGCCTTGTGCCCTTTTCACATGCGTTAGGAGAGAAACAAAAAGATAGTCTTTCTGGCTCCCATGATAGAATCCACCAGTACTAATGATTCCACATATGAGTCTGGGTTCAAAACTTCATTGTATACTTAGAGCAATATGTAGTGACTTTTCTCTCTTTGACTCCCTGGAGAACTTGACTACAGTAGGCTAAGTCCTTAGTATCCTCCACCTTGCCCATCTCCTGCCAACCATGCTAGGCAACTGAGGAAAATACTAAAGAAGAAAGATATAAAAAAAAGTGAAACCTAGATACCCACATCCGCCAAGGTTTTTCCAGGAAGTTATTTCCAGGAAGAACAAGACTAGGCCAAAAGGACAGTTTATTATTTGTTGGCTCTTTGGGCCTATTCTGGTTATCTGTTCTTACGTAGCAAACCTTAGTGGATTACAACAACAAGAAATGCTTGGCGTGGGAACACCACCCCCAGCCCAAACGTCACACACATTTGGTGACCAGAAGTGTTCGGTTTGAGTGGTGCTGTGGGTAGAGAGAGGAGACACATGGGAGTGTCTTTCCAAGACACCTGTTTACCACACCAGGCAGTCCCATGGAGCCAGGCCAAGGAGGCTATGATCCGTAAACGACACGGTGCTACTCTGATGCTCGAACATTTAACCCCTCTGCTTGTCTAGAGTGAAAGGTCTAACTCTCAGCGCCTTGGTCCTCATTTGTCCCCAAAGAATTCATTTTTCCTTAGCCTTATATCAGTGCTTCTACTCCTTGGAGGCGGCAGAGAAGCAATGAGTTCCACCTAGATGCAAACAATCAGACCCTCGATAAGAAAATGTCTCAATAAGAATATATTGAGTAAATGGCTGTCACCTGTAAATGGTAGAGGGCCATTTCCTACCTAAATCCATAGATTGAATCCATAGATTACATAAATTTGATTAATATCTATTGAATATCCACTATGTGCCAAGGATTTCACTTATATTACTTAGTTTTTGGATGATATTCAAACTTTTAAATAATCAGTACAATCAGAATATTTATAGAGATTTCTGTGCCAGGCATCAGTCCTCTAATTGTGGGGTCTTAAGGAGGTCCTAGGTGTCCCAGGAGAGGGGAAGAGGGCATTCAAAGTTCTCAGGAGAGAAGCTATATCTAACTCATATGGAAATAATTCACTTTTAACCACCAACACAATCTCACCAGTTGTCTGTTGGCTAAATATCAAGCCTTGCCTTATAAAATGCTCGTAATGCTATGAAGTTAGTACTGTCATTTTGCAGATTGAAAAAGAGAACCAGGAAGTGGAAGTACTTTGTTCAAGGCCACAGAGGCAGTAGATAGCAAAGTCAAACTCAAACTTAGCGTGTATAGCTTCAAAATATGCGTTCTTTCTATACATTACTGACCCTTTATGAGATAAAAAGTTCCATACTCACAAAATCCCTTCCAAGTAAGTTCTGTTACAGATGAGAAGACTGATCTCAGAAAGATTTATAACAAGAGCTATCCTCAAAACCCTCTCCTACCCATATGAGTTTATTTATCAGGTACGTTAGGTCTTTGGGGCATATATTCAGTGTATGCATACTGTTCCCAGAGTATAGCTATGTTCCTAGTGAACTCTTGAGGGTCTTGAGAAGTAGGGCCTTGTCACCATTTATGTCCTGTTTATCATAATTGTCCTTTAGATATCTGTTCCCATACTTGCATTTTCCCACTCTTGACCACACCTGTTTGCTGGTATGTGCTGTTCATTTTTCAGGATTCAGCTCAGATTTTACTTCTTCCAGGAAGCTCTCTAAATTCCCAAGACTGGGTTAGGTGCCCCTCTTTTGTTTCTACACCCACTACCACCACCACCACACTTACTCCGTTCCTTGTTTACTTCTGGCCTAACACTGTGGCGTATTGTGTATCTCCATACTAGATTTAGAGCTCCTTGAAGGAAGAGACTATGTCTGATTACTCTTTGTACAACATAACAATGTCTTACTGTTACAACGTGATTTGCTCTCTTAAGGGAACTCCAAGGTTCTTGGAAGATTCAGAATATATATCTTGGTTGCTGCCACTCAAGTTCTATCTACAATGGTCTTTGGCAACTACTTCCTTGTAATTCCAGAAATACCTTTCTTGAGTATACCTAGGAACTGGTTTCTAGGATCAGTCTGGGTGATGGAGCAAAGATAGGGCATGTGTGTGGCACAGGTGGGTGGGTGGCAGGCCATATGCTTTGCATTCAGGACTTCACAGCCATCTGTTATATTGTGATCTATTTCCTGGAGGGATGCTTAGCCCATTACACAGCCTGATGCTTAACGGAGGTTCTACAATGAAGATTCACTTTATTCAGATTTGCACGGTTATTGCTGTAATGCTTTATCAAAGGAGCTTTTATCAAAGATTCTGAGAGCATTGGTTAAAAGAAACATGGTCTTTTAAAAGCTGATGTGCCAAATCTGGCAACAGACAATATGCCTACCCTCCTGGGAGTGACTGTCGGCTAAGCTCAGTCCATACTGCAGAATGGCAGCCTGACCAGTGAAGGGAGATTGTCTTTGGCAGGTCTTACAGTGTTTTTGCCTGTTAACTTTGCAAGCCTAGGTAGTTTGGTTATGCCTACAGTGTCTTTGTCTGCAAAATCAGGATGATGGTAAAAAAAATCAGTGTGGCCAATACTTACAGAGAATTTACCGATGTGTGTTATTTGCTCATTCTAGTCTTTATTCCAAACAATCCAAGCTCTAAAAAATAAGTAAAATAAGTCACATGACTTGACACATAAATTATTATTATTACCTCTCCCAAGAGGTTTGAGTCTCAAGGAATTGTGCATAAATTAACAGATTAACAGTCCCCCTTAAAAATATGATGTTGCTTAAAAGCAAAGCTGTAGTTGTTTTGAAAAAGCAGCAGTCCAGCTTAGCTCAGAAGTGTAAATACAGAAAGGGAAAGTTGGGTGTTTGGAGAAATTTAGTAAATAAGGGCAGAACCGGTAACTGATTCCAACTTCCCTGTTCCTGGTGAAAACAATAGCTCTTTAAATCCCACGACTAGCCTATTAGCAGGCACATCAGGGTTTATAACACTGAACATTTACCAGGTCTTATCATAAAGAGCATGTCACGTGGTCAGGGACTGAAAGGGAATAAGGAAAAATGAAAACAATTGATATGTTAGAATGTAGAATTTTGGATTAATTTTTCTCTTTACATTTTTTTCTTTGTAGCATTGCTTATGCGACAAATTCATACATTTTTTTAAAAGTATGACATACTGAGAGGCCCGCGTACCGCAAAAAAAAAACAAAAACAAAGTATGACATACTGGAAATGGTTCTCTGTGAAGCAAATTAAAGTGCTTAGAAATTTGAAAAATAATACCGGTAGCTTTTCTCTGTAGGGGCCAATAGCCATAGCAATTCCATGGTGTCCTGAAATGACATAAATATATATAAGCAAGGATCAAAGAATAGCACAGTATATATTCAGTCTATTTAAACTGGCCTGTAATCTAACAATAATTCATATTTGGTTTGGATAATTACCTCT